GCAAGGCCGGGCAAACAGGGCCCACACCAGGGCACCGTAGCCAGGGAGGTGCCACAAGGGGCTCGAGCTTCCCCTGGGTGGCTGTGGCCGGACGCCTCTCTTCTCCAGCCCCTCCCCCACGCTGGGCCGGCAGGCTTCTCCTCGACCTCCCCACCCCCTCGCTCCTCAGCCAGCTGGCTGAAAGCTCCAGCTCTGCCCCAGAGCGGCGCGGCCGGGGCTGGTCACTGGCCGCACGGCCCACCACTCGCTGTCCAAAGCAAAGCCGACTCCCTCCCAGCCTGCATCCCTGCGCCGCTTGGTCTCCAGCGGGGGCCAGCCAGGCCGGGGTCAGGAGGAGCAAAACTTCCACACGGGGGGGGAGGAAGCCGGACCTAGCAAGGGAAGAGGGGGAACTTAAGGTGACAGTGCGCTCACTGTCTCTCAAACTTCCTTCACACCCACGCACACTCTGCCCCTCACAGTCCCCCAACACAGATTGTCTCTCACACACTGGTGCTCTCACACACACACACAAACACACTGTCACGCATACACACACACACTTGTATTATTACTGTTGGTATTACTGCTTGGTACTTCCCGTCAAAATGCGTGGTGAGCCAGGAGTGGCTAGGGGCTGCAGGAGGGCCGTGGGCTCAGGCAAGATGCAGCCACCATGTGACAGCGCCAAGCGCCAGGCACCACAAGCCACCGCAGCAGCACAGAAGTGTGGCAATACACCCTTACTTCTGCTGACAGTGGCCTAGGAATTTGCTAGTTGTAGCAGTTACTCATTGTGACATTATCTGATTAAAACATGACCATGTAGATCATCGTTGCAACTACTGTAATATTTGCAACAAATCTTGTACAAAATGTGGCATGTAAGATGTCTATGAAAAGGTTATGATTTGCTGAATATGCTATTTGTCTGCAAGTATCATTTTTGTATTTGAAATTATGAGTATTGGCTCTATACCTATATTTCAAATGCTTTCTCTTGGGGTAACGCCCACAAGGTAGTTAGCCAGCACATCTTGGAAGGACTAGTCAAAGTAAGTGGCTCATCAAGGGACACTTAACTAGGGTGACCAGATGTCCCGTATTTAAGACCTTCTGGAAGTGTCCCGACTTTTTCTTAAAAACGGGCAAACTGTCCCATATTTTCTGTGTCTCTCCCTCTCTCTCCCGCCTCCCCCCCCAATCAGTACTGGTGGGTCCTGCTGCTGGCCAGATCCCTGCTCGCCAGTCATCTGCCCACCAGCGGTGAGTGGGGGGGATCCAGTGGCCGATGATGCGGGTAGGTGTGCAAGGCTGATGGTGGGACCCTTTACGTGCTTCCTCCCTCGCTCTCCTCTCCCTGCTTTGTCCCTTTGCCTCCGCAGCTCCGCTGCTCCTCCATATCTTCCCTCGCCCCCAGCGGAGTGCGTCCCACTCCTAGCGCTGAGCAGAGAAGCAGTCCCTGGTCAGAGCGCTCAGCTCACCAACAGCCTGGTCAGCAGGCTCCTTCCTTCCCCCACGGCCTCTGGCTGGGCAGGCACCCCAGGAAAGTTGAAGACCCTCCGGCCTGGGGCACTGGCCAGGAGGAGCCCAGCCTTGCATGTGCCAAAGCCCCGCACAGCGCTGGCCTGGGGAAGCCTCTCCGCCCCTCAGCTAAGCTATAGCTGACATAGCAATTTCCAGCCTGTTCACACCCTGAACCTGCAGGCTCTACAGCAGCGCCCCACCTCCACCCCCGGGGCAGGGGCTTAGCACCTCTTCACCACCACCACCCTGTCTCGGGTCCTATCCCCAGGGAGCCTAGGCCTGCTCTGTCCCCTGGGCACCCTCCCCTGCTGAGTCACCTCTTTGGCTGGGTTCACTGAAGCCCCTGCAGTCAGGTTTCCTGGGCCGTGGTGCATAATGCATCCTTCAGGCTTAACCCCTTCCTGTAAGCGCTGTAGCCGGGGGATAGGAGACGGCTGGGTTATGTTGGTGGTCAGCAGCAGCCTGGAGGTGTTAACTGCCTTTCGACACTGTGTGGGCAAGAAGGGACAAGCTACTTCCAGCCACACGGGAGGGGTCGGGGGAGAGATGACATGAGCCAGGTCATCCCTTCCCCTCCTCTGCAGCTGGAAGCAGCTCCCATCCCTTCCCTCCCTCACAGTGCCGAAAGGCTGCTGGCAGCCACATTCTGGTGTGAACCCTGGCAGAAATCTAGGGAGAGGGGGCATGTGACCCTGCGTTCTCCCCCACACACACATACGTTGCCTAGGGAAGACACAGTGCCAGGTACCAGGAGAGGCAGGTCCGTCCGGGGTGCCCAGCCAGGCATGGAGGGTTGAGAGCGCTGGGCAGAGGGGGCTGGGTTGGTTGGTCACAGACCCCCTCCCCACCATGTGTGAGAGAGATGTAGGGGATTATGTGTGTGTCACCCCTCCCTGGGGGGGGGGTATGGGTTTGTGTGTCACCCTTCCCTATGTGAACCCTAAAGCCTTAAGGATAAGAAAGTAAATAAAAAGACTCCAACTAGCAGTATTTATTTTTAACAGGGGCTCAGTCAACTTGATGTTAATTTGAATATTTGTACAATTGATTGCTGTTGAACTCACTTGAATAAGAGTAATTTTGCCAGGTGTCCCGTATTCAGTATAGGGAAATATGGTCACTCTACATGTAACTCACAATGGACCATGGGAGACGCCCATCTACACTGAATGGACTTTCCTGTGGACATTCCATATGAAGTATAGGTAATGGCCCAGAGGCAATGCCGGGGGGGCCCAGGGAGCCTGTAGGAGCCAAGGGTGGTGATTGGGGGGGGGGGGGAGAGGGCACCAAAATACAAGTTCACCCAGGGCACCATTTTCACTAAGGCCGGCCCTGGGTAGTAGGAGAGGTGGCAATATTCTTGACTAAAGGAAAGGGGCTTAATTTGCATGCAAACAAGTATGCCACAATCATAAAGTCTTAGCCCTTGTAATAAAAATAGAAGCTGATGTTTATTAATATATCATTCCAGATACATGAAGTACCATTATGTGGCTCATGGGTTGCGTAAAATGTCATGTAGTCACTCTGGCTGTAGACTAAAGCTCTATAAAACTGGAAATTCCACCAGATGGCCATTTCACAGCAGACTTAAAAGTTTTAGAGCTGCATTGTGGCAAGGCTGTAGTTACGACTAATGTGAAAATAGCATCTTTTAAAAAAAAGTCATTACTGAGCATAACTGACCTATGTTATAGTACTACTAATAATCATAGTTTACATGTAGATGATACATTTTGTCTGAGGGTCTGGAAACACTTTACAAAGACTGGCAAATGTTCCCATTTTACTGATAAGGAAAGATACAACATGAAGAGGTTGTGCCTTGCTTGTTGAGTGACAGAGTTGAGATTATAACCCAGTCTGCAGACTGACCTATTCCAAACAGTGTTTTCTATTGGCCAGGCAACTGGACAGGTGACCTGAATGTTATTCCTGGCTCTGCCCCTGACTTGCTATGGGGAGAATTGCAGATCACTCAGGGCAAGATTCTGCCATCCTTACACTCACCAATAGTTAACTGATTGAGTAGACCGAATCAATTGAGGGTTTGCTCCTGAAGTAAGGTACTCTGCAATAAGGGGGTGAGAGCATATAGCCCGTAAGCATTTATTTGCTTTGGTTTCCCATTTTGTAAAAAGGGGATTGTAAGGAGTGGGACTCACCCCTGCAGCGCCTCCTGCTGGTCATCCTCGGGAATTAGCTCATTTTCCAGCCAGGAGCGCCCTCTGCAGGCCAGTGATCCGCCTTACCTCACTCTGGCCCCCATGTCCCTCCCAGGACCCCAGTGCCCCTTCACTGGGTTTCTGCCCCCCCCTTGCAGAACCCCTCAGTCTCAGGGTTCCCCCCCCAGGGGAATCCCCACCCACTAACCCCACCTCGCCTCAGTGTACGGCTACTGCCAGTCACCATCTAGCCCCACCCCCTGGGGCAGACTGCAGTATATGCCACTCATCACAGGCAAGGTTGGGCTGGACCTGCTGCCTCTCTCTATAGCTGGGCTGCCCCTCTGCAGCCTTGGTACTGGTCTTAGGCCCTCAGGTAGGCCCGCAGCCTGGGGGTTTTCCAGGCTGGAGCTCCCCAGCTCCTCTAGCCTTACCCCAGCCCTGCTCCACTCCCAGTACCCTGCTCAGCTCCCTAGCAGCCAGACCCTTCTCTCTCTACAAGCAGAGAGAGACTGCTGAGCTCCTGGCTCCCAGACTCTTATACAGGCCAGCTGTGGCCTGATTGGGGTGTGGCCAAGCTGCGGCCGCTTCCCCAATCAGCCCAGCTTTTAGAGCTACAGCCCTCTCTAGGGCTGCTTTCAAGCCCTCCCAGGCAGGAGCGGGTGTCCACCCCGCTACAGAGGTAATACTTATGTTTGTTAAAGTACTTTGAGATCTCTGGATGAAAAATACTATGTGCATGTGTGATGTTATTAGCTGTTCTTTCGTTATTAGATTAACCATCACTGACCATGAATTTATAAAGCATTAGTCTACAGCCCTAGCAAATACATGAAGTTTTATTAACCCAGGAGTCACATAATAGTATTCAATGGTACTAGAACGACATTAATATCAGACTCTGTTTGCTATGGGAACACAGAGCAAGTGCCTCTACAGATAGCATCTTCAAAAGTGTCCTCAGCTGTGGCTGTTGGGTTTAATTCATGAGCACATGGGCAACTAATGTGAGCTAAAGGACCCCACTGAAGATTTGGACTTTTGAGCTGCCAGTGAGTTCACAAACACATAGGCACAAATTAATTGAAGTCACTGGAGTTGCAAATAGACCAGTAATAGCCCATAGATAGTTAGAAGTCGCCAGCAGACAGATGGCCAAATCCTGGAGTAACATTCCTGTTCCAAAGACTGTTCATCTGGGTGAAAACCTCTGAAGTTAAAGCATTATTTGTGTTCCTGTCATATAAACTCTGATATTTTGTTTTGTATTTAGAGAACTGTCCTTAAAGTTCTCCTTTTTTTAATCTTGATTTTTTTTTCTTTTAGATTGATATGATTGTGACCTTGGGTGGACTTGGAGGACGCTTTGACCAAGTCATGGCATCAGTGGAGACTCTCTTTCATGCAACTAATATCACTCCCACTCCAGTTATAGTTATTCAAGAATGCTCCCTCATCTACCTACTTCAACCTGTAAGTGAAATGAAGTGTGAGACCCCAATAAACATGACGCTGCAATTCCAACAGTCAAAACTGCCTTTTCCCTCAGCAGGGCTTCACTTGCTTCAGGATTGTAGAATTAGACTCTAGATTTAAAATATATTTCTAGCAGCTGGGAGATGACCTATGGCCACACCCCTGCAGGAATGGTATATTTTGCACCTTCTGTCTGTAGAGATCAGGATTAACAAGAACAGATTTTAAATAGAGGGTGGGAAACTGAAAAAGTGAAAATTTAGTAAGAGCTAAAACTTTATTCAGTTTTGTAATTGGTTATGAATGGAAATATCTTTCAACTTTTAAATTAAATTCCAATGGAATTAAACATATCTCCCTCTCCCCTTTGTTTTTCATTTTAAACAGAAATATATGACTGTCACATGAGAGAAAAACTCGAGGAAAATTCAAGGGCTTGACAAACATGTCAGACAGAATTCTCATATAGTCCGAGTGCTGCAATTTATTTTGACTGAAATCCAGATGTGATTAATGAGGGAATCTATTTAGAAATGTGTTGATTTTGTGATGTTCAGGTTTTTATCCAGTTATTGATTCAGAAACTAACACAAATGATATCTTGTGCAGCTTTCACTTTTAAGAATTAATTTAGAAGCAAAAGCTGAGTAAAAGAGCTTTTTTTCTAACAGCTACTTATTGGCTTCTGTTTGGAAATATTTTTTCTGATGGCTGGATTTCTACAAGTTTAACTAGCTATACATTTTTATCCAGTTTGTCTTATAAAATGAGATTCACTGGCAAGGTTGATGACCAAGCCTGCCCTATGCATGCATGCTTCACTGTAATCTGAGAGGTATTAATAGGGTTCTATAAGAGATTGCAGATTTAAATCCACAGAGGCGAATTCTACATTATCAACATGAGGCACTCTGTCTGTAGGAGGGATGCTGGGCACAGGAGCTCATTTGCCACTATGACAAGGAATGACTGTGATTATTAGTTGCAGAGCTAAAAGGCTAGATACGGAACAAAGTGAGGAAAAACCTGGGCTGAAGGATAATTGCGATCAAATCTGAAAGTGGGAAGTAATTTGGCTGTGAATGATTTGCACATACTGTACTGACACTAAATTAATTTTAGGAAACTTTTGAGAAGGCTAGCTAGAGCATTTTGAGGAGTTTCAATAAGATTAGAAATGCCCAGTTTAGCATTTAAAATATTTGCTTTTATCATGTAGCTATTTTAATTCTTTGTTTTGTATAAACGGCTTCTAAAATGTCAGAGCTAAGATTATGTAATTTTGAAGGAATAATTCACCCCCTAACAACTTGAACAAAAGTCCTTTGTATCATTATTACTTATTTGTGCAGTGTGTTAAGTGGGGTTTTTTGTTTTACTGATAATTTTTTACCCCTTTATTACACTTTTACAAAACGTGTTAATACTGTTTTTCATTGGCATAGGCTAATGCTTCTTTCACTCAGTTTCTGGCTGGTGTACAGCATTGCCAGCTGATGACTTTTATAACTCCAGGCTGTTTCTAGTATTTAGAAATAAAGGGCAGATTCAGGGGGCAGGAATCTTACAGCAATCTTAAAACTAACTGACACACAATTCCATTTCATTGCTGGTTTAAACTTGTCATCTCCATTATCTTCCATCCTTTCGGAAAATAATTTTAACCCTCTGTTTTCCAGATAAGATCAAATAAGTAGTTTATAAATAGGAATAAATAATATTCCTATATTGGAAGTACTTTCTTCCTATTCCGTTCAATTTAGGTTTACATTATGATAGTTTCTCTTGTAAATAGCTATGGAAAATGACAGCTCTTTTTGCTTTGTAATTTAAAATCAAGGTAGGAGAGAATTAGAGCACAGTGGGAGATGAACTGACTTTTTTGAGATAATGCAAGTGAGGAACAAAAGAAGTGGGATAGCATGATACATGAAAACAAATTATAAAATTAATAAGGACATCTGTGACAGATGTGGCAGTGTCCTGCAATATTCTTGAAAAAACCTATTGAATTAAGTTTAAGTATCTTTGGAGTCCATTGTATTAAATGCAAAGGTTACGTATTATTGTGGGCCTGGATGATCAAAGGACTATACTGAACAATGTGGCAGACAAGAATGATTTGGGGGGGGGGGACAGTATGTGTGAAGTGGAATTCCTGGGAAATACTTGGGGGGAGATGAAAGCAAATGCCCTCCACCTGTTGTTCAAAATCGAAACCTTTGGAAGCTATGCCCTGAGGAGAGATCCATTGTTTGCAGTTCACCTGTTTCTGGAGGCTGGAGCTTTTAAAGGCCCAAGCTGTATAAAGAAACAGGTTGATATGCACAGTTTGCGTTCTTGCTCCAAGCTGAAGCTGTTAGGAATTTGTAACCACAGGAAAACCTCTTTGTCATATTTAAAGGACTGACCTCCTACCAGAGGCCTTGTTGGAGTGGGGGTGCTCTCTGGTAAGCTTATTAGTGTACGAGTAGGTTCTTTTATTGTTTTAATGTTTTCTCTCTGATGCTTTCACCTCAAGAATAAATATGCTTGCTTAGAAAGAGTGGTGGTAATTTATAACTGTGGGCAACTATGATGTTGATAGCCATTGAAGGAAAAGCAAAGCACTGACGCTGGCCTGTTTAGGTAGTTTGGCTACCTGGGAATAATACAATGTAGGCAGGGAACTGTGTAGCCTGGAAAAATCCCAGTTAGGTAGGGAAAAGTTAGGGTTTTCTGCCCAAGAGAGGTGACGACTGGGAGCCGAAAGCTTAAAAATAGGTGCCCTTGCTGGACCACAGAGGGAGAACACAAGACAGTTTCCCTTAACTGTGACAACGTCTTGCAAGGAAATCTTTCACGTTCATGTAGCATGCAGTTCGGAAAGCATTCTCTCTTCAGGAGAAAGGATCCATTTTTGTTGTTGGGTTTCTGGGACAGCAAAGTATGAGCAAAAAGCATTTTAGCTCCAAGATAAAATTAGACTCTTTCCTATTAACATAAGAGTATAGTATGTATCCTCCCTATATGTTGTTTGTTTGTTTTTTATTTATAACCAAAATGGAGAGTACACCTACCCCGTGCTGTACACATCTTTGACATAGTTAGAAACAGGGTGATATTAACATAAAGCCAGCAGCTTTCCCTAGTCCCACCCCTCAGAAATAATCAGCAGAGATAATTTTGGGGTGTGACTATCTTGCCTCACCCACAAACACCAGTTTTTATCATTTTTCTCATTCCCCTAAAGCCTGAATAAACGGTGATCCTTTCATTGTGCCCTGAAGATCAACAGATTTGGAAGCCACTTCTGATCCCAGGGCACTGGTGTCATCTCCCATTGAGATATGCCACTTGCTAGGGAGGCTGCCACAGTCTTAATCAGTTTAAATTTCTGGATTGTTTTAAGATGTAGCCCCAGATAGAGTTAATTGCAGGAACCTGTATTATAAATTAATATATCTATCAGAAGACAGAGGATTTTTTGGTAAAGCATTTATAATCCCTGTTCATACAATGTGTTTTTAAGTATATGAAAGTATATAACCTAATCAATTTAATGTCAGTTTTTTATACTTTTTAAGAATGATCTCCTGCCTCATTCATTGTGAATCTTAAAAGAATCAATTGACAGATTGAATTCTATGTATGGCTGAATTTGTAGAAGTGGACAACATGATTAGGTCAGGAAAGCAGCAATGCCGTTGGCTCATGTTGTGCCCTTAGTAAGTCACTTAACCTCGCTCTGTGCCTTTATTTACCTGTCTGTAAAATGGGTAAAATAATACCTTTAAGAGCTTCGTTTTTAGCCGAACACTTGTAAAGTACTTTGGTTTCTTCAAAGGAAAGATTGCATACTAGTGGAAATTATTTTTTTTTAGTATGTCACATTCCTCTGACTATAAATAGGGAGGCAGAGTAGATGCTCCAGCAGGTGACATTTCCTTTGAAGCAGTTTCCAATGTGATGATTTAAGCAAAAAATTAAAAATAGAATATATATCTCTGCACTGAATAGTGATCATATTTCTCTCTGTGGTGAAAAAAGAATCCTTAATAAGGAATAATCATTTCTTATGAGCAGGATATTTTATGTACTAGTCCATACTTTTTATGCTTGAAATTTTGCTAATGTCAATTACCATTAGGATATACTCTGGCTGAAGAACATTAGGCCCTCAGAGTCATGTTTATCATGCTACCCATGCTCAGTACGAATGGCTTAAGGTTTCACATACATACTTTCTCATTTTCTGGTACTGTGCTTCTCGGGAGTACAGAAACATTAGCTTCTGTACACTGAGCATAAATTATCTTTTATCTGTGAGTTTTATGGCAGTTTGTAATACAAGGTAATAGGATTTATGACCAAGAAATGAGAAGATGTCCAAGAGTTAATGAGGCATGTCTTTTCATTATACTGAGCGGAGTTCCGTGTTCCCCTTGTAGGATTCCACCGTTGAGATGTGGGAAGAAGTATTGCTATTTGTACTTGAAAATATGTTGCACAAGAATACTTTTGTCAGTTATCTAACTCTCCAGAAATGCTGTTTGACCTATTTCTTCCATGCTGTGTTGTACTTCCTTGTTTTTCCTTCCCATAAGAAATAATGAGGAATATAATAATGCTCATAGAAACTGAGGAAGGAAATAGAATGCTGATAATATTAGGAGTGTAACCCTTCTGGTTAAATCTAAGGTCTCGGGGTCAGGATTCCTGTGTTTTTTTTCTCAGCTCTACTGCCGACTCAGAGTGTAGTCTAGGGCAAGTCACTTAACCTCTGTGTGCCACAGTGTTCCCATCTGTAAAGTGAGTGAAATACAATTACCAGACTGGGTGTTGTGGAGTTTACTTACTTGTAAAATACCATAAGATCCTGAGATGAAAAGCTCTACAGAAGTGCAAGATAATGCTGTTGGTAATAGTTGTAATAATAACTAACAGGCTTTTAATTAGCTTCCAGATCTACACCTACAAAAAAAGGGGGGGGAAAGTACCATTTCTTCTTCATCTCT